CCAGGAGGCAGAGCCAGGCGAGGCATGGAAAGAAGACGGCGTTTGGCCGGCTACGTACCAGGCGACGCAATGAGAGAATCGGGTTAAAGCGCGCGATTTCGGAGAGTGGAGACAAATCGATCGATGGAATAGGATGGAGTAGAAGTGTAAGATGTGAATGCAACGAAGCAGAAGGCCAGAAAGAGCTTCTAGTGAATGCACTCCAAGAACCAAGTTTGAAGCATCCCCGTCGCCAGCATTCGTGAAAGACGTCCGTGGGCAATTTGAACGCGTAGCAGCCTTTTCGAGTTTTCGAATTTCTAATCAAAACGAAAGCAATACTTCAGTTCTTTTCACTATTATCGTGGATAATGAGTCTCAAGCCAGTGATTTATGGCTGAAATAGAATCATGATTTTTCCGCGCAAGATTCCTTTAAGTCCAAATTCCAGCAATGGAACGCCGCCGTTCATGTAAGTGTCTCAACATTGGAATGGTTCCAAGTCCGCTTAGAGGACGCTCCGCTTATTGCAGATTCCTCTATTCACGTGTGTTTCGCCTTCTCTTCTGTCCCGCCCCCACTGATTCCAAACTTTTTTATTTGATTCGTTTGGTGTGCCGAGCTTGGTGCCAACAGATAGCCGGACATTAGTGCTTTATATCTGGTGTAGATGCTAATTTACTATTGTGCTCAACACTCTGTGTTGCGACTTCCAATCAAGGCTCAATTTTTCTGCTGAATAAAAGAAACCAACAATTCGTGATTTCACGACGAAATACGATTGATGTGTAGTCAGACCTTTGCTATTCATTCATTCTTTATTAGTTCTTATTAAATAAAACAGTGGAGCACTTGAACTGAAGTAATACGAAGGCAGTACTTGTGTAAGGCAGGCTGATCACAATGCGAACATTCATAAAACAAATGTGAGTGATATATCGTTAACTAGACGGAACAATTTTGTGCAACCTAGAAGTTTATAGTATGATGCTTGAGTTCACAATGAGTATATCGGTAGTGTACGCTATTGGCAGTATTATTAGTCGCCTCTGATCACGTCTGCATGGCGAATAATGCGGACGGATCGAAATAGAAGCTATTCAAAATATTGTTGAAAGATTGAGGACAATGCAAGCGAAGAATCAGGTACGACCGTCTGTTGACTTGATGCACACTTGACACCGTGAAACACGTGTGCGTAAACTTCCGGACTTGAGCGTTTGGCTCTCAGGAATCTGCAAAAAATTGCAATCAATACAGTTGTGACATAAACAAAATCTCTCAATTCATGGTTTTGTGCCCAATGATGAAACCGACCTTGAATTCTTGATCATTATCGATTGTCGCAAGCCAGAAAGAGAATTTATTGGCAAAGTAATGACATGTGCCTCGCGCACCATTGCACTCAA